CATCGCAACAGACTGAATACAGGTATATTCCAGCTATCTTCTATTAATCACAGATTAAAGAGATTCGCAAAGATGTAAACAGTACCACTTTTTACACTAATTTTTTTTTGATCTGGAAAACAGTTTATTTTTTCAAAAATATGTATGATCTGTGTTAAACATATAATGGGTTTATCATTATTATTTTAAATAAATCAGTAAACATTTTAAAATTTCTTAATTATAATTTCTAACACAATAAATTGAAAGCACATTTAAAAAAAGCTCTTTGGGGTCCTCAATAATTCTTAAAGATATAAAGCCCAAAAAGTTTGAGAATTGCTGCAACAGAATAATGAAAATACTTTGCAAAAATGAACTCAACCTAATACTTGTTGAGTATTAGGTTAATACCTAATACTCAAACAGAGCACCTAAACCCTAAAAACACAGCAGTAATTTTGCAGAGAAACAGGTAGGAAACAGGTTGGGCAGATGTCTCGAGAGGATCTCAGCAGATCTGAAATACAGGAAACTGACATTCACTTGAACTGTGCGGTGGGAAAACTGAAGCCAGTCGCCACAGACGACCAGGTATGTGTGGAGGTGAGTGAGGAGGGGGTGGCTAGAGACTGCAGTACAAGGCTTATAGTCAGGAGCCCCCGGTTCAAATCTTGCCTGCAACACCTACTAGCTATATAACCTTAAATAAATTAGTAAATCTCCCTACGGCTCAGTTTCCGCAACCATTCCTCCAGATAAAATCAGAGAAACTGCAGGAAAGTCCTGGGACAAAGAGTATTACTACTGTGTGGGGCTTCTAAGCAAGTCTTGGCAGTCAGCCATGGACTCTAGGAATCCACAGTTTTTCTCAAATGGGGAGATTAGAGGAAGTGAACATTTTCATGCAAAGCAGGACATCTCAGAAGCCCAGCTTTATTTCTGAGCTAGGGAGCAATCAGTGCAACTCTGTGCTGAAGCCTATGGATTAATCAGAGCCCATTCAATAGCAAAGTGTTAATGGTACTAAGGTATTCATTAACTAGCTCAGGATGGCTCTCAAGACAAGGGCTGGATTACAACAAAGCTACAATCACAGTTTTCCCCCATAAGAGACTGAACTAGGAGAAAGGTGAGGTGAAGGTGAGACAGAGATGGTTCCAGGCCATAAAGGAGTCCCAGAAGGGGTTAAATCAGATTTATAAAAGTTCTTCATTCATTTTTCCAAAAAATATCTGAATGGGCATAGAAGCAGACCTTGTTTTTAGGATTTTATCTGAGAGAGGAGAGGATATGAACATTCGTAAATATAAAACCACATACAGTAAAAAGCAACATGCAGAGAGGTACGTATAAACATAATGGAAAGATGAAATGATAATTTCCAATTGGGGGTGGGATGGAGGAGGGTCAGGGAAGGTTACTTGAGAAAAGGATGTGAAGAATAAATACAATGTGGACAATTCAGAAATGGAAAAAAACGGGGCATCTTAGAGAGGCTGTTTCTGGAGCAAAACAGAGGGTAGAAAAGAAGCATCGTGTATGAGAAGCATCTAGTAGTTCACTGTGGTGTAAGTATAGGGTGCTTGAAGGGGCACAGGGGCTGGAGACTGAAGAGGGAGTCTGCATCGGGGAGGGGGAGTGCTATGAATTCCACCCCAAAGGGGAGTTCCCTCTCCCATTCTTCTTAGTAACTACTCTAAACTGTCACTATTGTCTTCAAGCTCCCGACTCAACCTCTCAGACCCTTCGATAAGATTTTTAATTTCCTACATTATTGAAAACTAGAGACTGACAGGTGCCATCTCTCTCCACTTCCTACTCCCCATCTACAAACTTGCCCACACACACCCACCTCTCTTGTGCTGGCGTCTTTGGGGGGGACAAGGTACCCCCTTTCCTGTTAGAGGCTACGCCTATTTTCACATCTCCCAAGACTGTGTTCTACTTTCTTTTCTGTTCTACTCCATTTTTACTTCCAACCCTCCGTCTTCTGGGTTTCCTCTCCAACAGATTATAAAAATGCTTATTTTTGGGCTTCCCTGGTGGCGCAGTGGTTGAGAGTCCGCCTGCCGATGCAGGGGACGCGGGTTCTTGCCCCGGGCCGGGAAGATCCCACATGCCGCGGAGCGGCTGGGCCCGTGAGCCATGGCTGCTGAGCCTGCGCGTCCGGAGCCTGTGCTCTGCAACGGGAGAGGCCACAACAGTGAGAGGCCCGTGTACCGCAAAATAAAAAAAAAAAAAGCTTATTTTCACCCACATTCTTTTTTTTTCTTTTAAGATGTTAGGGGTAGGAGTTGTTTATTAATTAATTAATTTATTTTTGCTGTGTTCGGTCTTCGTTTCTGTGCGAGGGCTTTCTCTAGTTGTGGCAAGCGGGGGCCACTCTTCATCGCGGTGCACGGGCCTTTCACTATTGCGGCCTCTCTTGTTGCGGAGCACAGGCTCCAGACGTGTAGGCTCAGTAGTTGAGGCTCACGGGCCTAGTTGCTCCGCGGCATGTGGGATCCTCCCAGACCAGGGCTCGAACCCGTGTCCCCTGCGTTGGCAGGCAGATTCTCAACCACTGCACCACCAGGGAAGCCCCCACCCACATTCTTTAAAGAAGTTTGAATGAGAAGTCTTTACTTCCCACTCAACATGGCATCCACCCTTACCCTGGACTGAAATGTAACCTTCAAGTTCTCAATGACTTCTATTGCCGAATCCAACGGATATTTCCAGTTCTGATCTCATCAAGCATCTCTGTTAAGTTTCAATCCATTGATCACTCCACTGCCTTCTCCCACCCTTGTGCTCTCCAGCCCTCACTGCACTGTCGGTTCTCTTAGCACCTCTAACAGCCGTTCACTTGTCTTCCTCCATGAGTTCCATCTCTGATGGCCGTGAACATCAGTGGCCCACTGTTCTTCCACCTGACACACCTCTCCAAGTCATCTCATCCAGTCTCATGGTTTCAGTCCCCACCTGTCAGCTCAGGCCTCTTCCCTGAGCTATCATTTGACACTCCATGTGTCTACTAGGTTTCCCAACAAACAATTCAAACTTGGGATGTCCAAACTGGAACATACTTTTCTTCCAAACCTGGAATGTCCTTTCTTCCGTCTTACTGCTCCCTCACCAACACACATGTACCTTACTTGACTAACTCCTGTTTATCCTTCATTGATCTTCCCCAGAAAATCTTTGCTGAACCTCCAGGTTGGGATAGATCGGTGCCCTCCAAAACACCCCAGTGTATCTCAATTATGGAATAATATCATCAATGCTATTACACAAATAATTTTTTTAATGTATCTGGTTGCCCCATTACACTGTAAGCTCCCTAGGGCAGGGATAGTGTTCTAACCACCTTTTAATCTCTAGGACCTAGCACAATCCTTTCTTTTTTTTTTTTCTTTTTTTTTTTTTGGCGTTACGCGGGCCTCTCACTGTTGTGGCCTCTCCCACTGCGGAGCACAGGCTCCGGACGTGCAGGCTCAGCGGCCATGGCTCACGGGCCCAGCCGCTCCGCGGCACATGGGATCTTCCCGGACCGGGGCACGAACCCGTGTCCCCTGCATCGGCAGGCGGACTCTCAACCACTGCGCCACCAGGGAAGCCCCCTAGCACAATCCTTGACATACAGTAGGCACTCCATAAATGCTTGGTGACAAATAATGAGAGAGACGTTTTAGGAAGTGATCTGCTGACAATATATAAAACATAAAGGAGAGAGAGACAGACAAGAGTGAATGAAGCTGCAATGGGTAACTGCAGCAGAACAAAGTAACACAAAGTCTGAACTAAAATAGGATTAATACGAATAAAAAGAAGGGGATGGACATGAGAGATTCTGCTGTGATAAAATGAACTGGACCAGCAAAAGACTGAACTGGGAGGTGAGAGATGTAAGGGAGAGGCACAATCAATCATCTCTGGGAAACAAGAAAAGACACTGAATACACTGCCATAACCAGGAACTGTAATGTATTCTATACCTTACAAAACTTTCTTTGAAAGGGGGAATTAGGGCTTCCCTGGTGGCGCAGTGGTTAAGAATTAGCCTGCCAATGCAGGGGACACGGGTTCAAGCCCTGGTCTCGGAAGACCACACATGCCGCAGAGCAACTAAGCCCGTGCATCACAACTACTGAACCTGCGCTCTAGAGCCCGTGTGCCAAAACTCCTGAAGCCCGCGTGCCTAGAGCCTGTGCTCCGCAATAAGAGAAGCCACCGCAATGAGAAGCCCATGCACCGCAACAAAGAGTAACCCCCCACACCGAAATGAGAGAAAACCCGCATGCAACAACGAAGACCCAATGCAGCCAAAAATAAATTAAAAAAAAAAAATTGGGGAATTAAATGGCTTAAGAATTGGATTTTGGTGGTGTTCTCTGAAATCCAAAAATACCTATTATGTGAGGAAATTTATAGCAATACAATGCTCAATAATAATCCATAAGTCCTCTCCCTTCTCTTTCTTTTAGTTTCCCGATTTATCAAAGTTGGGTAAAACTGGAGGCTTTTAATATATCATAGGCTAATTTATCAGCATGACACTATATATCTAGAATAATTAATTACTAGAACTTGCTACACTCAAATAAGGTGACCTAAAGAGTTCCATGACTTTTTTTTTTTAACCTAAAATTATATGCAACTCTTAAAAAGAGGTATCTGATCTAAATTCTGAAGTTCAGATGCTAAGAGGAGAAAAGCTCTTCATGATGTGTTAGAACATAAGGCTTGCTGGTTGTGACACAGACTTTACTGCTGTGGTAAGTTTGCCAAAGGTGGCCGGGTTGTCCTAGGGCTAGCTTTAGAGCAGAGAAGGGAGGGCAGGACTAGAGCACAGGGCAGCCCTAATACGCGCGTAACACTTCCTCCTAAAGGAAAACAGCGTGTAGGTATGGAGAAAAAGGCCTGAGAATGCAGGAATGGGTGTGGAAAACGTAAACCCAAAGGGGAACATGAGAATCAAGTGAGATTAGGAAAAGCAAAATTTCTTAGGCTTATTTGACCCAGCGCAAAGAGTTTACCTGATTCATGATGGAAAATTTCCTCCCAATTCTGTTGTCTGGTAGCCGAAAGCCCTTCCTCCTCATACCATCTTCTGACTCTGACTTGAACACCTTCTCGGGATCCCCTTTCTCTTCTCCTTCAGAGAGCTCCTTTTGTTTCCTCTTCTTTCTCCTGTTACGTCTCTCTTTGGCACTCTTGGAACTGAGCTTAGAGATTTCAGATGAGCTTCGGGGCGAGCCTGCCCCTTCTTCACCTTCTTCCTCTATGGCATCTTCTGAGACAGTTCCTGCTGAAGTGGCCATCGCCGCCGCCTACGAAAGGAGCCACAGCCACAGAGCAGATCAGAAGCCATGAACTGGAGCCACCCAAAGCCAAGCAATTAGTACAGGTCGTTTCCTTTCCCACAGATAGGGGGAAAAGGGAAAAAAGGAGGAAGGAAAACCAGCCCGTCAGAGGAGCCTGTGGCTGGGGCCTGGCATCCCTTCTTCCTAGCTGAATTTGTATCGTGGCACACAGCCTTGCATAATCAGAGCAGAACGGCATGGTGAGAACTCTGGGGTTTATTCTCTTGAGTATCTCAGACAAGAACGTGGCTGCCACCTTGGTACCAAATGATCCTTTTTTTGGACAACTCTGCAAATCAATGCTAAGAAACTATACTATACATTATGGGCCCAACAATGTAAAAATACATGTATATTTGGATAAAGATGAAAAAGTAAAGTGTTAGGGTGTTGGTGGAATCACAAGTTTGTTTTTCAAATTTTACTTTCATATTTTACCTGTATCTTCTTTTCAAGACTTGCTATGACCACAGAGAATCTCTGAAGGAGACCCTAATGTTTTTCTCAACAAAAAGGCTATGCTTATATGAAGCATTACATAGACTGCTCTGGCCACTTTCTTTTCTCCCCAGCCAGCACAGCAGTTGTACACTGAACAGTTGAGAAATTCAACAAAAGATCATATTCACAAACAATATGGCCATTAAGACAAATGGAGTAATTGGACTGACCATCTGTAGTTGTTACTTGGGTTATTTTAATCAGATCAGTGACTTCTATTTGACAGTGACTGATGCCTAAAGAGATCAATTGGAATGGCAATCAGGTGGGGCCTTAGTCACCGTGATATGGCAGGAAAGACCAGAGCAAAGAATTGGTCACCAACCTGTGCCTCTTCCTGTTGCTTCTTAAGTTGCTCCAACATTGCTTTGAATTCAGCCTCTTTCTGCTCTGCTTCTTCCAGTGTTGCCTGATTCTGTTCTTCATAAGCCATGGCCACCACAGCCAAGATCAAGTTCACCAGATAGAAAGAACCCACAAAGATGACCAAGACGAAGAAGATCATGTACGTTTTCCCAGCTGCTCTTAAGGTCTATAAAGACAAAGACCACTTTCTGAGTTGCTTGCATCAAACGAATCAGGCTGAAAACAACTCATGGGCTGGTGTTCCTCTGCAGGGGCACTACTGAATTTTTACACTTTTTTTTTTTTTTTTTTTGCAGCATGTGGGATCTTCCCGGACCGGGGCACGAACCCGTGTCCCCTGCATCGGCAGGCGGACTCTCAACCACTACGCCACCAGGGGAGCCCCCACTACTGCATTTTGAACAGGACAGTACTTCACTGTGTGGTACTTCTTCACACTGCAGAACACTTAGCATCCCCAATGGCCAAACGGCCTCCCCTACCCTCAACTCACAGTAAATGTTGGTAGTACGTCCCATTCATTATGACAAGAAAGTCCTCTTCCACTTCCAAATACTCTTAATATACTCCTTTTGTAGAAAAATGCTTAATTTTTTTTTTAAGGAAAAATCGCTCTGGGCTAAGAATTACATTTGACTTTGTCAGCTCGTTCTAAAACAAGTCTGAAGAAATGAATACAAGACCTCAGCTCATTTATCTACTGGTCCTCAAAGAGCATTAACAGACAAATTCCATCTCTGGGATCAGGTCCAAGTCATAGGAAGTCCCTATCTTGAGGGACATCCTTCCTTAGCCTGTTGCAATAGGATGAGTTTTTTGTGTGTGTGCGTGGTACGCGGGCCTCTCACTGTTGTGGCCTCTCCCGTTGCGGAGCACAAGCTCCGGACACGCAGGCTCAGCAGCCATGGCTCACGGGCCCAGCCGCTCCACAGCATGTGGGATCTTCCCGGACCGGGGCACGAACCCGTGTCCCCTGCATCGGCAGGCGGACTCTCAACCACTGCGCCACCAGGGAAGCCCCGTAGGATGAGTTTTTAAAGAGGGGTATGACATAAAGGATAGTGGAGGGAAAAGAAAACAGGAAGGAGGATCCCAAGAGTACTCCTCGGGGAATACTCAAGGAATACTGAGTATTCCTTGAGCAAGCACACAGACATCAAAGAACAATTGTGTTTTCGGTTATGTACACGGGACCCACTATTACTTAGTTTGCATTTTTGTTCTTCTCAACCACAAATTGAAACTTAGCATAAGTCACAAATATTTCATGGGAAAGATTCAATCCTGAGGGAATACTAGCTTGTACAACAGAAAGGAAGAGCTCTAGGAGATACGAATAAGAAACTTCCCTTAAAGAGCTTCCTTCATGCCTGAGGGGAACACATTTCTTATCCTCAAACTAATCTGCATTACCAAATGCTAGAGTCAAATGGAAAACAATGGCTCATCAGAGAATCTCTAAACTGGAAGGCCCTCAGCAGTCACCTAGACTAACTTCACCACAACCAGCAAAATTAAACGACTTGCCCAGAGTCACCAAAGCGGCCCAACAGAATAGTAGTGACCTTTTAAAACAAATCTGTCACAACATTCTTGAACAAATACAAATGTGTTACAAATTTCAAAACACGGACAAGATCTTATCCAAGATCCCTGTGGATAAAATCTCATCTTTATTATGTCTAGCATAGTGCCTTGGACAATGTGTTTAATATTTCTTAAAAAGATGCTCTAAGCCCAAAAATCCAAAAGGAGAAATACTGAAGATGGTCTGGTGAAATGATAGGAAGCAGGCAGAGAATGCAGATTCCCAGGCCAGGCGAGAGGCTCTCAAGTCTGTGAACCTCTACAGCTACCCATGATGAGCATTAAAGGACCAGGCCAAGAGCTGGGAGAATTCACTTACTTTTGTAAACCAGCTGACTCTGAGAAATACCATCCTAAGATCCTATGTAACGTCTTCACCAAAGGTCTCTCACACAGAATGTCCCCAACCCCACATAGCCTCATGCAAATTCTATCACCAAAGAAAAAGAGGTAGCACTCGAAAAAGAGGTATTACTTACTAATTGATACAAGTTCTCCCAGTAGTCCTGGGTCATAAGGCGAAACAATGCCAAGAAGGCCCAGCTAAAAGTGTCAAAGCTTGTGTAACCATAGTTGGGGTTCCTTCCTGCTTTCATACACTGGTATCCTTCTGGGCATTGCCTGAGGAAAGAAAGGGAAACAAACGGCTTTTCAATGTAATCCTACCCAGTCATCAGCTGTAAGGCATCTCTATGACCTTGGAGATAATAAATATATAGATGGTTATTTATTACAGGCCAACAAACAGGAATTAAAAAAAAGAAAAAGAGGAAAGAAACAAAGTAACAAGGTCAATTTTTCAAAAAATGATGTCATGGGGACAGTCAAGGATCAGAATCACCTGAAAAATGTTGATTCCTATGACCTACACAAGACCTAGGAATAAAAGCTCTGGATATGGGATCCAGGAATCTGTATTTTTAAGGGGCGTGTCAGATGATTCTTATGCATGCCAAAATTTGAGAATCACTGTCCTAGATTCATATCAATGTGCAATTCAACCCAATTTAACTTAGCTGCTATCCGAAATGACAAACGGCTAGAAGTTCCTCTTAATCATCTCGATGCTCTTAACACCCATTGTGACAACCATGTCATACTGGGGATTTCAGTGACCTTGATTATAACACTTCTTCTGCTTTAAGACTCGCCTGATGTTTATTTCAGTGTAATTTCTAGTATCTACTTCAATACAGAAATTAAATGAACTTCTAGTCGTCATGTCATCTTAAAACACCAACTCCTGTATTTACCAATATACTCTAAATAATGACACTACACCCTACATTTATATAGTCCTCTGTTTACAAAGCACTTTCACATATGTTATGTAATTGGATCCTTACATAACCCTTTGAGAAAGTGAGAACATGATTAAATCCGTGTTTAGATGAAGAAACTGAGGCTCACATAAGTTAAATGGCTTGCCAAAAGTCTAGAAGTAGCAGAATCAGGACTAAACTTTGTTGCTGTACACTCATGTTCATAGCCGCATTATTCACAAGAGCTAAAATGTGGAAACAACCCAAGTGTCTACTGATAGATGAATGGATAAACAAAACGTGATATATACATACAATGGAATATTATTCAGCCTTAAAAAGGAAGGAAATTCTGACATATACTATAACATGGATGAACCCTGAGGACATTATGCTAAGTGAAATAAGCCAGTTGCAGAAAGACAATTACTGTAGGATTCTACTTAACTAAGGTACTTAGACTGGTCAAAATCATAGAGACAGAAAGTAGAATGGTGGTCACAGGGGCTGAGGGGAGGGGAGAATGGGGAGTTACTGGGTACAGAGTTTCACTGTAGGAAGATGAAGAGTTCTGGAGATGCATGGTGGTGACGGTCGCATAACAACATCAGCATACTTAATACCACCGAACTGTACGTGTAGAAATGGTTAAGAGACCAAATTTTATGTTACGTGTATTTTGCCACAGTATAAAAAGGGGAAAAGATATTACATTGCAACTCTTTCCCCTCCCCCACGTCGTCTGGCTTGGCATATTCTGGGTCAACCTTGGGTGCTAACGTATCATGAAGACGGTGTCCTTATTCGATATTTTATTAATTGTGTTAGGATAGAATGAGGAGAGTCTTCAAGAGACAGGCAAGATATCTGATGTTATAGATTCTGTCTTTAGCCTTTTACATCTTTAATTTTGGCTTGAGACTATGGACACCTTCACCTACTAGTGAAATGTCAACTTTGGACGGACAAATATAAGACAGAAAGAAAATCTGAGTCACCCAATACGTCGGGCCCACTAAGGATCCACTATATGAGCACAAAGAAAGAGAACATATTGTCCATTTTTGTCTGACAAATTATTTTAAGGGAGGAGAATAAAGTTAGGTGAGCCACTTACCCAGCATCAGAACTGTTCCCACAGAGCAGAGGTTCCAGCATGCCAGGAACTGTGTAAAAATTTGCTAGAAAAGTTTGAAGAGGCAGGAAATGAATAAGGCAGATTTCAGTGAATGAGAGAATAAACAGTTATTGATTTTAGCTCATATAAATCTTTCCTGACAGCAGTGAAATCTGATAAGAATTCTTTCCCATTAACTATTTTCCTATATATATTTAACAATGAAAAGTGCTGCTGTGTAGCCTTTAGTGCAATGTTCTTTTCACGGACACCTGACTTCTACTCGTACTTCAGACCTGTATGCCACGTTCTAGCACTTGAATCAAAGGGTTTTTACACCACTCTACTCTTCTATCCTTATAACTTCTCTCTACCAAAGATAAACTGATCGCTAGTTACCATGCCCCACTTTAACTCAGAAGGCACGCTTGCCTTTCGTGTCCCTGAAATCCCCTTTGCAACACTTTCTTGTAGATACTAACTGCCTTTATTCCTCAGGAGTGACTAACAGTGAGACCGCTAACTTTCCCCCATTGTTTTACAGAAGTACTACCATACCAAATATTCCTAAGGGTAAGACCCAAGTGCCTTGGTTCCTGAAATGAACCTGTTAAAACTCCTTAACTGTAATAGGATCAAATGATTACTTAGAGATTACTCGACTCCCTAAGACCAGATTGATTCCTAAGGTCTAGGTAGTATTCAGAAACCTTACTAGGTATATACTCTATAAACTAAAGGTTTACATATCTCAGGGAAAAGAGGATTTTTATCAAGTTTCTAAGCCTGATTTTCAAAGCAAAATTTAGGGGTACATGTGAAAAAGATCTAAAGTTTCATTTTTGCTTTTAAAGGGAGAGAAAAGAGAGAGAGGGAGAGGGGGCTGATATCTGAGAGCTTCTGAACATCATCCGACCTCACGGGAAGGGAGTAAGTTCCCAAGGCTCGTTCCAGCAGTCCTGGCCTTCCTTTCTGGAAGGCTGTTTCTTGCGCACTCGCAGAGACGGGGCCACCTACTTTTATTGTTGATGTACTCGTCCCAGTCAAAGCCCTTGGTGCCATTTTCAAGATAGCTCTCGTTGAAGTTTATGGGCCACACCACACACTTGTTTCGCAGGTTTCCCATGAAGAGCTGCAGTCCGATCAAGGCAAAGACACTCAGGCAGAACACTGTCAGGATCATCACATCCGACAGCTTCTTCACGGACTGAATCAGGGCGCCCACGATGGTCTTCAGGCCTGAGGGGAGAGAACCCCCAGAGTCAGAGTCATCCCACAGCCCTCCCCACCTCCCCCAGCCTCCCCGCTCCGCCACGGCTCTTAGTCTGCCCCACAGGGCCGCCCACGAAGCACGGCCACTTCACCATTTACACCATGGGAGTAACAGTGGGGCGGCGGTATTGTCAATTCTTCCAGGGGCATCAATTTTTAAGTCAATATTTTTTTGAAAAAGAAAGTCCCTTCTCCAGCATGTGGCTCTTTTCTTCCTGGAAGCACTTCCCTGTCTCTGACTGCTTCTCAGCGACTCAGATGAGTCAAGGTCTTACTTGCCTCAGTGTTGCCACACATGCTGTTCCCTCTGCCTGGAACGCTTCCTTCCCTTCTCTTGTCCCTCCTGCCTGTTTCCTATTCATCCTCCACTCTCGCTTAAAGAGCAATTCCCCCAGAAAGCCTTCCCTGACTTTACGACTCTTCTCCCTCCCCTACTATTACTATTTTAATAGCACCTTTTACTTCCTCTGTAGCATTTATCATGGTTATAGTTAATTATGTCTGCCTTGTTCACAGGTGTATCTGCATGGCTTAGCCCACAAGGTACTCAGTAAATATTAGCTGAATAAACAAATAGAAAATCAGGAATTGAGGAGGCTTCCAGTTTGGAAAGAGAACTACAGGTAAGTTTAAAAGCCAATAATAGGTGAGAAGGTACAATAATATCTTCCCAAGAGCTCTGGAAATGCCAATGTATTGAAAAGGTTAATCAGTATCAATCTAGTATTTGTGGTTTGTATTTCCACTAAAAAATATACCTTCTCTGCATCACATATACTATACCTTTTTTCTGTCCTAGATTAAAAACTTGAAAAAGTTTAAAAAAACATATAACCCACTTGAATTGGCAGTTTAAATGCAAGCCACCGGTTCAAATTTGAATCTGCAGGCAGATTTCTTAACTGCACAGGGAGAGATCAGTGATAGGAGGCAAAGAAAAGTATGGTTGTGGGCTCGTGATGTTTGGATCAAGACTGAGTCTACATGTGGTTCTCCTGGGCATGCTCACACATCAGCTAACCATAAACCATAAGACATGGCCAAGAAAACACTGAGCACTCCCGGGGTGCCAGAACACCAGGACGGACAGCAGGCAGACACACAGCCTTGACACACAGGCCTCAAGAGGGATCTTATCCCTAATCTACTTCTTTTCTGTTTTGTTTTGTTTTGTTTTTGCGGTACGCAGGCCTCTCACCGCTGTGGCCTCTCCCGTTGTGGAGCACAGGCTCCAGACACGCAGGCTCAGCGGCCATGGCTCACGGGCCCAGCCGCTCCGCGACATGTGGGATTTTCCCGGACCGGGGCACGAACCTGCATCCCCTGCATCGGCAGGCGGACTCCCAACCACTGCGCCACCAGGGAAGCCCCCTAATCTACTTCTGAAGACAAGACTATCACACTGAAATTCTACAGAAATCCTAACCCTGGCTCTGATCCTAACCCTAATCCCAATTCTAACCCTGAGTCTGGGTAGATAATTACTAATCAAGTTATACAACTTACTTACATGGCCTGAGCAATAAACCTAACCTCCTTGGACCTCAGTGTTTTCATCTTTAAAATGGGGATGATTATAGTAGAATATCATAGGGCTGTTGCGAGGATTAAGCATGACTCATACAAACACTTAACACAGCACCTGGCACACAATAAATGAATCAAATGTTAACCATTTTTGTCTGAACCTTAGTTTACTCAATTGTAAAAGGTATTTAAAATATCAACCTCGCTGGGCTGCTGTGAGGTTTAAATAAGATAATGAATGTTAAATACCAAGTACAGTGCCCGGTACTTACTACCTGTTGGCTATCACTATTATGCATATGTTGCCCTCCTCAAAGAGACAGGATAATGGGATAATGACACTGCATGGCTAACCTCGTACGATGGTGATCTAATGGGTGGTGTGGACGTGCCTCTTCTTTTGCTGTATTTTGCAAGTGACTACCTAGAATTTTCAAAGTTGAGTCCAATGGTGGTAATGGATGCCGTGCCTAGCACAAGCCCTGGCACAAAGCAGACACTTAATATGTTTTTAAATTCTTTATTGAAAGAGTAAATGAGTAAGAAGCTTTCTTTCATACAGATATCCTGAAAGGGATGTAAGGGAAATTAAAGAAAAAAGAGCCAAGAGTTAGACTGTAGAGACGTGGCAGTGTGCAAAGGCTTATGTTTGCTCACAGAGCGGGCCTTCCATGGACACTGTGGCCACCGAAGGGATCAGGAAGAGCTCGCCTGGGCTCCAGGGATAAGGCATTTCTGGCCTGATTCCTTGTCTCCTCACAGGGCTGTTCAGAAAGAGCACAAGGCAGGAATCAGAAAGCGGGAATTCTGATCCTGGCTCAGCCACTATTTATGACCCACTGTGTTTCAGAACAAACTTAAGGTCACCTCCCGGTCTCATTTTCTCATACACAGAACATGGATAAACACAGGAGCACCGGCAGTGGGCAGTGGAGGAGAAGCTGAAGAATCGTCTCTAGAAGTGTTTCGTTTTTTTTTTCTTTTTTAAATCTTTTTACCTGTGCCTTGTGGCACGTGGGATCTTAGTTCCCCGACCAGGGATCAAACCCGTGCCCCCTGCAGTGGAAGCGCAGAGTCTTAACCACTGGACCGCCAGGGAGGTCCCTCTAAAAGTCTTTAAAAATAGGGCAGAGATATTTACTTGTTCGTGATTAAGTAGCTGAAGTTTCAATCTTTTATTCCTAAGTCCTGGAAAATTGTATCATAATCTCACAGCTAGGTAAGAAGGTATTGGTGGTATAGAATAAAAGGCAGCTATAAAGAAGTAAAAATTGTTCCAGTGTTCTGGAACTCATTTCAATAAGTTGCTAAGGAATAGAAAAGTCCTTCACTGTATTTGGCTGGGTTGAGGCAGGTGTATGTTGGGCCGATAAGTCAATTCTAGGCTCCTAAAATTCTGCTTCAAAGTCAAGAGTGAACTTTGAAAGTTCTGCTTTCAAAGTCAAAGAGTGATTTTTAAAAAAGAGTAGTTGATAGACCATAATGGAAAAGAATATGAAAAAGAATGTATGTATTATGTATAACTGAGTCACTTTTCTGTACAGCAGTAATTAACACAACATTGTAATTCAACTATATGTCAACAAAAAATAAATTTAAAAAAAAAGAGTAGTTGAATAGGTCACTGAAGAATGGCTGTAAAGTTTATTTTCCTGAACTTCTTTGTGAAGAGCTTATATAGCCATCTCTCCTGAATGGTTCAGACAATCACCTGTCTGAATACTGGATGATAGTTCAAGGCCCTTTCTACTTCTATTTTAATGAATTGAGAAATGAGCTGTAAGTTGTCATTTGTATTAGTAACAAGAGGATAAAACTTTAAAATAGTCAAACCAATGTATTTGTGACATTAATTAATTTTTAAAAACATACAATTTTAGCATAAGTCTAATCTGATTTTCCTGGGCTGGGAACTCTTTGGACAGTTCCAAGCCCATACAACAGGAAATTCCAGGCTATGAGCTCAAACTATCTTCTGTTCCATAAGGGTGGGCTCCCAGCAGCCTTGTTTGTAGGAAGTAACCTTCTCTTAGTAGTTAGATGTCAGGATGCACACCTGACCTAAATCTAGATCCTGTCCTCCAGGAATATAGAATGGGACAAGAGACAGTCCAGTAGCCTTTTCATGTGGTGGGAATGATAATGTATAAATCTGGAAGCTAAATGGTAGTCATATTCTATCATTATATTAGGATATGTCTGTGAAGTCAAGACAGCATTCTAAGGGACAGAAAAAGGAAATAGGAGCATGGAGAAGAGAAAGATGAAGACAAGGTACTCCCTGGTGTCTGGGGCCTTCTGGCTCTGCATTCTGCTTTCACTGGCTTCCAGAAGCCCCAAAGCATTCCAGCCCTTAGTTTCCTTGAAGTACTCCTGTATCTTTTTACTTGCAACCAGAGATGCTCAAATAATACACCAACCCTACATGGAACTCCTCACTTTTCTGGGGATTGACGTGAACACTCACAATCGGCTGGTTCAACATCTCTTCTCCATAAACCAGATGCCACCGCTGAAGAAATCTGTACACATGAGTCCAGAAAGCCAAAAAAAAATTTTCAAGTGTTTTCCTTTGAAGTCTGAGGCTTAGATCAACTCCTCTGTGGAGTTCTTTCAGCTTTCAAGAAGGTTAAAGTAGAGATTTAAGTTGGAAATGGTATTCAGCCGCTTATACTTCACAGGGTCTCAAAGGAACAAAACTTAATTAAGCAAAAATGATCACTAAATAACACTATGGCCAACCAAAAAGTTTACTCTCTAAGATTCTCAACCACATTGTTAGGAGAAAATTAGAGGAAGGCACAGGAAGAAGAAAGGTGACGTAACTTAGTATCTGTAAGTGAAGCTAGGCACACAATTACTCAGCAATATTAAATGGTTACTGGATTATACCCAGGCCTCAGCCAAGACTCTTCTTCCTTCCGTCAGTGTTGATAATTGCAAATGACCATATCTGCAGACACTGACGCCAATTTATGGAAATGACGCCATCAATGCTTTTCTTTTTCTTTTGCGGTACGCGGGCCTCTCACTGTTGTGGCCTCTCCCGTTGCGGAGCACAGGCTCCGGGCATGCAGGCTCAGCGGCCATGGCTCACGGGCCCAGCCGCTCCGCGGCACGTGGGATCCTCCCGGACCGGGGCACGAACCCGCGTCCCGTGCATCGGCAGGCGGACCCTCAACCACTGCACCACCAAGGAAGTCCCATCAATGCTTTTCTTAAGCTCAACCTTCATAGTCTTGCCAGCAGTGGCTGCCACATACTAGTAAACACAGCCAAGCAAAAGTGCTCCCCCAGCAACAAGCAACACGGGTCAAAAAAAGTAGGAAGTTGCTGGTAGAATTTCTGACCCGAGGCGTGTAAGAATGGAGAATCCACTGTTCTGGTTGTGAGCATAAACTGTCCTACTTCCTCAACCAGTTCATAACACCACATACCAG